TTTACACCATTCGGGTAGTGTGTTTGCATTGTGGGTGGTGGCATCGTTTGCGCATGGGGGGAGGTGCTGTTGGCGGTGTGGTTGGCGTTGGTTTTTGCGCAGCAGCGTGAAAAGCAGAGAGCAGTAAATGGTAATTACATGCATTGTATTCTATTGCTATGACATTGCTATAAACATCTACGCTATGTGTCTACTCAAAACTACTACTAATGCCTTGCTTGTTCTGTTTCTTGGTTCTTTCTTCTTGTCTGCCGACGCAAACCGTGCCCGCCAACGACGCACACACTTTGTCTCTCTTAACGCAAAACACAAGACTGCTTGCTGCCAAAAATTATTTCGGCTGACGCAAATATTATTTCCATAATGTTCCAATAGTATTTTTAAATACAGTAAAGGACTTTTAGCATCTGCATGCCGACTGCATAGTGTTCTATTTTACGTTTGGATCTGCATCATCTTGGAATCTCCGCAAACACAGCATTTCCGATAATCCGGTGCTTCTCGAAACACTTTAGCGCGCGCTTGTTTACAGGTTATAAACCGTTTTCTCCTTTCTTTGGCAATTTTAAGAAATATGTAAGTATATTTTTAGCGTTATGCAAATTTTTTTCAACTTGAGCATACTCTACACCCAAACTGTATTTTTGAAGCTCTCCGTTGACTTTGTGCAAAAAAAAAAAGTCACCTGGTGCAGTTCTTGTTACACCATCTAATGATGTTAATTCAACGTGTCACACGCTGTGGATCCCCTTCGTTCTCAACGCAAACAGCCACGTATCGGCTGTATGGCGCATTTGCGTGGCACCTAGATTTGTTTATTAGCCTCGCGCGGAACGGAGGCTTGGCGTTGGACAACCCCTGGAAAATCCTGCACTCAACCACACCCGTTTATATTGCTTGCATGGTGGCGGCCTCCGTTTCTTCTGCTCTTTGCTTTTTGCTTCCCTGCCTTTGTATTTCTTGTTTGTAGAGTACACATCTAAAGAACATCATCAATCTGACGACGGACAAGACAAGGAGAAATGACTATGACAGCATACTCCATTGAGGTGCCAGATACACCTGCGATTGCTGGAGAAACCAAGGTATGCATTTGCTACGGATCACTGTATCATAACGGAACCAGACACGATGCATATGAACATTGAGGACTAATTCCAACAGCTACGCTGTCTATCAACATTTGCTTCCAGATTTTTGGCCGCCTGTATAGCCGCGAATCGATTCTATTAACGTCGATGGAAAGTTGACAACCAATATGGAAGGAGTCAACAACATGCACGACAATCTTCTGCTGGGGATGAAGCGGGCAGGACCCGATGCTCAGTGCTTTGGGTATCGGCCGATGGATGAGAACAATGTGCCCGGGCCATACAAATGGATGACGTTTAGAGAAGTCAAGGATAGCGCAACCGACATTGGCTCTGGATTCACCAAGCTCGGCGCAGGGTCAAAGTCGCGCGTTGGCATCTTCTCGCCAAACTGCATACAGTGGTCGCTGGTTGACCATGGGTGCTGCGTTTACGGCCAGATATCCGTGCCCATGTATGATACGCTGGGCATGGATGCAGTAAAGCACATGGCAGAGGAAACCGAGATGGCCGTTGTTACAATCTCGCCCGAGAAGCTGGTGGACTTTCTAAAGCTGTGGCCGGACCTTCCGCTGGTAAAGACAGTGGTTGTGTTCGGGAAGATACCCAGAGGCAGCGGCGCTTCGGTCCCCGAGGGCGCGCAACTGATGACGCTTGACGACTTGAAGAAGCTTGGAAAGGACGGCGGCCACGCACCATTGCCCGAGGTGGCTGCTGTTCCCAGCGACCCCTACACTATATGCTATACCTCAGGGACTACAGGAAAGCCCAAGGGCGCAGTTCTCTCGCACATGTGCTTCTTGTCGACAGTGAACGCTGCGCGGAACAGAATCAGGCACGGCCACATTCCGACGCTAGACAACTCGGACGTGCATCTGTCGATTCTTCCTTTGGCCCATTGTTTGGAGCGCTGTATTCACGCAGTCTTTTCAGGGCATGGAGCACGCATTGGGTTTAACCAGGGCGATGTGCGCAAGGTGGTGGAGGACATTGGGGAGCTGCGCCCGACAGTCCTTGTTGGTGTTCCGCGCATTTTTAATCGCATTCACGACCAGGTCTGGTCACAGGTAAATGCCAGAGGCGGTATTGCCAGCTCGCTGTTTAGCTACGCCCATGGCGTAAAGCGTGCAAACCTAAAGACAGGCTCCAATACGCATTGGCTGTGGGACCGTGTTGTGTTTAAGGCTGTGCGCGAACGGTTCGGTGGACGTCTGCGTTTGGTTATATCTGGTGCCGCTCCCATCTCTGCCGATGTTCTGGACTTTTTACGTGTCACTCTGTCGACCACAGTACTAGAGGGCTATGGAATGACAGAAGTTACTGGCCCGTCTGGCGTCACATATAGTTGTGATATGCAGGCAGGCAGCGTTGGCCCTCCACTGGGCAACACCATGTATAAACTGGTCAGTGTGCCCGACATGGATTATACGGTCGATGACATGCCCAACCCTCGCGGCGAGCTTTACATCAAGGGATACAACACTTTTACAGAGTACTACAAGCAGCCCGAACTGACTGCCGAAACGATAAATGCCGATGGGTGGATTGCGACCGGAGACATTGGCACTTTCAATGAGCAAGGGAATTTTGTGGTAATCGACCGCAGAAAGAATATGTTCAAGCTGGCTCAAGGCGAATATGTGACACCCGAGCGTATTGAGATTATATACACTGACTGTCCGCTTATTGAGCAGATCTATATCCACGGAGATTCCCTACAAAGCACACTTGTTGCTATACTTGTTCCAAACGAAGAGTTTTTGAGACGCGAGGTTGAAGGCACTGCTGCTATTTCCGATCGTGCTTCCAAGCCTCTAGCTGACCTATGCAAGGATCAAGATGTGATACAGTTGATGATGAAGAATGTGAAGATATGGGGACAGAAGAACGATTTAAAGGGTTTTGAGATTCCAAAGGCTGTCTACCTCGAATCAGATCCCTTTTCAGTCGAGAACAATATCATGACACCCACTTTTAAGGTAAAGCGCGCTGCTGCCAAAGCGCACTATTTGCAGATTATTGCAGAACTTTATGCAAAATCCAACACCGTCTCTGCTTAGCTTGTGGATGCCGCTCAGTTTTTTTTCCAGTTATAGTAGCCACTTTATTTTAGCCTCTAGTTTACCTTTTTGGCACTGTTCTCGAGAAATGTGATAGGGTCATGTGTTTTGACATCTACACACACACCGACAGGCCTAATTAAGGCTCGCTAACATTTGTGCTTATTCTCAGCATATAATAACATGATCAAATTTTTTGCGAACCAAACAATGGTGGTTATTTATTTTATTCACTGACAGTTAGCCGCCAAAGAAATGTTGTGAAATAACCATGTGTTGAAAAAAAAACCAAAAAAAGTTCTATTTTGTGAACCGATGAAAGGAAAAACTAAAAAGTGTTCTTTATTGCACTTTTGCTTTTTAAGGTTTTCTTTTAAAAATCCATCCTTTTTTAGTCGCTTGATTAAAAGGTGGTCTGTACTTGCTTTGACGAAAGAAACCTTTTAGGATGTCTTAAAAAACGCACACAAAAAGGCACTTTTACTTTGTTCAATAATCACAAGGCTGGTAATTTATATCCCACACAACTGAATTTCCCTTCCGCTGTACACTTGTTTTTCATCTCTGTTCAGCTTTTCTCAATTTTGTGTTTTTTTTTTTCATCACTATTTCATCTATCAACACAATTATATTTTACCTAACAATATGGCTGATGCGGATAGAAACCCCTTTCGTACTTCTGGGAAATTAAGGTTCATTAGATTTCATACAGCAGTAGTCTTTGCTTTGCAATTTGCTGCTGCAATTTGTCGTTGTGTTGCACTTGGCAGATATGCATGGAGTTTTGGAATGGTAATGATTACTCAATATGCACGCCAAGTTGCTCTTATGGCATGGTGTTTGTTTTTTGGGGTGTATATCATTTTTTCAAATTATGTCTCCAATCGCCACTTTTTTGGTCAGGACAGGGGGTGGAGATATATGGCAGCTGGATTCTTTTTGGCGTTAATATCGGTTATTCAACTGGGTGAACCTATTCTTTCAGTTCTCTACGCTGGCGATACTGGGATTAAGTCTATACTTGGGGATTTGGACAAACCAAAAGAACCAAGAAACCCAGATATCCCCTTTGTAGAGCCTACGCTAGATCCATTTAGCGTTTTCCTAGTAAGCATTGCTACGCTTCTCCACAGCTTTATTACTGGACTCTTTTTGATTGTTATTTCACTTCTCTTCAGTAAAATACGCAATATCTAAGAATATGAGCCATAGCATCCATTCTCCTCTCTGCATCACTATGCTTAATATGTTTCAAGAGTATGCAAAACTTGCTTGCGCTTGACTTTAGCGCTACAGCAAGTAATAGTTGCATCAGCCAATCTCGTATAATTTTAAGGCATTAGCTGCTACCAATTTCTTTTTTTGTTTATTATCTGTTTAGTTTAGTCTGTCTTTTGCAAATAAAATGTTTTCTTGGTTAAGTTATTGAAGAGTCAATTACTTGGACCATCAAGCTAGAAAAAATATAAACAATTTGCAGAATATTCTGCTAAAAATACGTTGCGACAGCCATAGGCTGTGCACATCAGTCCCAAGATTGAATCATGGTTTTGTTGTTCTATCTCAAGGAGAGCGAGAAGAGGCAAAAGTACCAACTGATTAGAAAAAATAACATGGTAAATATGTTGTGGAGGACGAAGGCTGCACACTCCAGCCCCAAGATTGCTTCAATAATTTTATTGTTCTATCTCCAGGAGAGGCAAAAGGACTGTGCCAGCATTTTATATTCTTTACAAAAAAAACTATAAAAGGAGCCACTAGCGGGCCCTCTTCAGATGGTAGCTTTCCTCCTTGCAATTAATATTGTAGACGAGCCTAATGTCGCAAAAAGGGCAAAAAATAAAAAACATGATGAGAGTGGGATTCGAACCCACGCCATTTCTGACTACCGCCTTAAGGTAGCGCCTTAGACCGCTCGGCCATCTCACCAGTAATCCGTAGACCATTTCTGACAGATATTGGACGTGGGATTTTCCGGCTTTCCCATTTTCAGTCCAAAAGTTAAAATAAAAAGAAAAGATGCGATGAAATCCTAAATGCTGTCAAACTAAACTAACTTGAGAGTCACTGCCCTTAAACGACGGCCGCAGTGGAATCCCTCAAACACACAGTTAACAAAACTAGAACTTTCAGTACTTTTCGATATTTCAAAAATCCGACCTTTTATTACTTTAAGAAAATTCTCCAGAAATGCCTGCTTTTATGATCGCAAGGCAACATTGGGATAAGAGAAGAGGAAATCGGTAGCGAAATAGTATGTGAGCCAGGAGTAGAGAGGCTGAAACATGGCAACAATTTCCAGCTCTTAGCGACTCTACATGTAGTGATGATGTCCAGGGTATTCGGCGATGTTGGCAAGATAGGGAAGTATAGCATCGGTATAGGTGCAACATATTCTCAGGGTTGTTATCATATGCAATCGTTGGCTATTTGCACGGTCTGCGCACAGGAGGAGTCCCACAGACACGACAAAAAAGCCCATATAAGGCTAATAGAAACTAATGAATTATTAGTAGTGATAGATAAAATTTTTTTATACCGTGGTATCGGTTTGCAAGCTATGTGCTCCATAGTCATGTAAGCATCTATATATAATTATTTATCCGGTCTTCAGATAGAGCCCATGAAGGGCATAGAGCTCTTAATCATTGACAAAGCACTTTTCCACTTTTTCGAATTCACATTTAACTTTTGCCTTTGGAGACTTCAATATTTTCAGTGCTGTTTTCGGCCATGGCAACATCAATTCGCCTATCTTCAGTATCCAAAGAATTTGTAACCTTAAAGAGCCCTCAATCAAGGTTGGAAGATGCTTTCTCACTGCTGCGAGTCCTCATTTCAAGGACAGTGTCTGTATGAATGGATTTGTCTAGCAAGGTAACTATACATTTTCCCAGGTAACTGCACAGTTGACTGGATGTGGGAAAGACACCTGTCTTAGTTATGTTTATTTTTTGGGCGACCCCACCCATACCAAGTTGTCCCCATTATGGGGTTTAATAAAGCAACTTATCAACATCATTGTAGCACCTGGACATTGACACTGGGTTTTATTTTTACACTATCACTGTTTTCCTTCAGATGAAAATAACGTTTATTTACTTTCACCCATCTATAATTATTTAAATGATAGTGGACAAGCACTTTTCCATTTAGCTTTTGGCTCTCAAGCCTTGTTTGGTTTGTTGGCTTATATTCATCAATAGTAACATCTTCAACTACACAACTGTCACTGCTATCCATTAGATAGGCTCTGTGTGATGTTTCCTATTCCACAATTGTTTTTCACTTGTTCTTAGATTGTTTCCGAATGCCTATTCTTCTTGCCATACAAGCTCTCATTTTTCTTTACTGTCAGGTTATTTTTTTTCTTCCCTGTGCCAGTTGTAGACTATTCTTAAGAGTATAGTCTGTTTCTTAGTGTTTTAATTCTCACTTTCAACAAGTCACTGACTAAAAGTATATATTTGTAGAAACAACTATTATAAAAGAAAGAACGCAGATTCCAACAAGGAACCCGCCTAAAATGTCATTATAAAGGGATCGGGCTGTGGGGAAGCCCAATCACCATTGTTAGCAATGATCGCAGATTAGATCTGTGACATTGTAACAACACCAGTGACAGATAATTTCAACATCTGCAAGTTTGCCAATTTATTTTTTCTTCTCATCTATAACAAGCATTTATCAGTTATATTCTCTCATGTGTAGTTTTAGCATGTTTGAATAGAATAAAGGCATTGTTAGAATATAATAAAAGCATTTATAATATAATAGCTATGAAATTATTGAGCATTCAAAAGCTTAAAAGGCTGTAGTCGCAGACTGCAACTAGTAGATGTTTGAGTAGAGTTGTTTGGTTTGTTTGCTATAAGAAGAGCACTAGATGTGCTGAGAGATTACTTTCCAAGAAGTTATATTCGAAACTAAAAGAAAAGCAAAGAAACCAAACAATGACATTGAGAACAATCAGGACCCTTTAAGGGCATCCCCCATGGGGAAGATGATCCTGATTGATCTTCAAGTCAGGCAACCTGTTGTGGGAATCTCACGTGGCTGAGGGTTCCCCAACAGTGTGCTGGTCCTGGGGTTCTTGCCTGGCAGGGATCCGCCAGCAGAACCGGGATCCTTCTTCTCTTTTCTTAGTCTTTTACTGCCTACATAGTTTCTTTAGCTTGCGAATACACCGCATTGGATAGGGAACTCAGGCGCAAAGACTAATAGAGTCAGAACCGCGTTTGGAAACACTTAAGGATCCAATAAGCACAGTGCTCTGAACGCCAGGGAAACGCCAACTGAGGGTGGATCCCGGATTGCGCCATTCCTCAGATATTGTTGATGAACCCCTTATTATTCATGCAATAAATGGGTTTCAAGTCGATTCGAGTGAAAAACTATATTTAGAATTCCCTCTTGGGGGGAAAGTCCAAGCCGCACTGCTGGATACTGGTGCAGACAGCTCTTTTGTCAGTGTTCACACGGCAAAAGAATTGGAACTACCCTTGGAGCAGCTGCAGCAGCCCCGTGTGGTTGTGGATGCTGGGAAACGAGAGCTCAGTAGAGTGGAATTTTCGACCAAAGTACCCCTGCTGCTTGACGGGGGCATTGAATTGTTTGCAGAGTTCAAAGTGGCGCCGATTGTGGTGCCATTTATATTGGGCATACCGTGGATGAAGGAAAACAATGCAGCAATTGAGACCAAAGGCGCATGCATGTTGATTGACTATGAGGGCAGGCATGTGAAAGTCCCATGCGCGCCGCTAATCAGACAGCCCCTGATTGACATGGAATCTGCGGAACTGAACCTTATTATGTTTGAGGAATTCGAGGAACTCGATGATGCCAAAATTGAGTACCTTGCCCTCATCGAACATAATGAGTCTGATTTGCTCATCTGCACACTAGACGACTATAGCGTTTCATATGAGAATGACTGGCGGGCGAAAGGGAGGACGGAACAACTGTTGGTCAAGTTTAGCAATGTTTTTGCAGAACCTCCAGTTGGACTTCCACCCAAGCGCACAGTGGATCACCAGATTGTCCTTACACCAAATACACGGCCAATTGCTCGTATGGCATACAGGCAGAATCCAGAGAAACAGGCCGAGATAAAGCATCAGATTGATGCTCTGAAGGCTGCAGGTTATATTCGGGATTCAAATTCACCGTGGGCTGCGCCGGTTTTGCTGGTTGGCAAGAAGGACGGTAGTATGCGGCTTTGCATCGACTACCGTGCCTTAAACGCCAGAACAGTGAGGGATCATTATCCATTACCACTGATTGAAGATTTAATTGCAGTTATGCATGGTGCCAAGGTGTTTTCCAAGTTGGATCTGCGCCAGGCATATCACCAAGTGCGTATTGCTGAGGGGGATACAGAAAAGACTGCATTCACCACACGTCATGGATCATTTGAGTACACAGTCGTACCATTTGGGCTCTCTAACGCCCCTGCCACATTCCAACAGCTGATTCAAAATGTGCTTGCCGATATGCTAGATAACGGCATTGTGGCATATCTGGACGATATTTTGGTATACTCCCCAACAATTGAAGCACATACAGCACTGCTACACAAGGTGTTAAACAGACTGTGCGAGCACCAGCTGTACGTTAAACTGGAGAAATGTGCATTTTACCAATGCCGGGTTGGTTTCCTCGGACACATTTTGTCTGACCGTGGCATTGAGACAGACCCTGAAAAGATTGCGGCAATAAAAAATTGGCAGATTCCTAAGTCGCTGACCGATGTCTGCACGTTTCTTGGGCTGACAGGTTACTATCGCCAATTTGTGGACTGATTCACAGCAATTTCTGCACCATTATCTGAACTGTTGAAGGATGACAAGTTCAAATGGACCAGCGCAGTGGAGAAAGCCTTTTCAGCATTGAAGGAAGCAATGACCAGTACGCCGGTGTTGGCGACCTTTGACCCATCGGCACCTAAGAAAGTCGAGACGGATGCATCTGGATATGCAATTGGCGGTGTGTTGTACCAGGCTGACAAGGACAGGCATTGGCACCCGTTAGCTTATTACTCAAAAAAGCTGACGGCCGCAGAACAGAATTATATGGTGACAGAGCAGGAGCTGCTTGGGCTCGTCTGCTGTTTGCATACATGGGAACATTGGCTGAACCAGGACGTCGTCATCGAAATGGATCACAAGGCGCTGGAATACTTATTCACCCAGGCTGACATTTTGGGACGGTGCACATGCTGGATTGAGATGCTGAGCAGATACGATGCACTGATCAAGTACCAACCAGGTGTGCAGAATGCCGCAGCTGATGCATTGTCATGGGCATCATGGCTACATCCATCTGCTACAGATACGGCGACATTGGATGAAGATGGCGATGGTAAAATGCTGCTGATTGCTGTCACCGATATAGACGCAGAAAAAGCAACAATGACTAATGATGCTATTTCTGCTGACAATGCTGTTGATGAGGGCGATGACATATTTTTTGATGCACAGGAGGAGCAGACACCCGAGATGGATGACTTGTCCGAAAGTTTTGACAAACTCTCGTTGATGACAATCGACTCAAACCAGGATGCTGGTAATGATGAGCTGAAGGTGGTTATTCTCCACCCACAAGCTATGCTCCCTGTGTCAGCACATGAGGATGATGCCGGCTATGATGTCACCATGCCGAACACTGTAATACTGCACCCAGGAAAGACAACAAAGGTTCCCTTGGGGATCGCAGCCGAGGCACTGTCAGGGACCTTTCTGAAAGTTGAGGGACGCAGTAGTTTAGCCGCAAGAGGCATTCATCCGTTAGGCAGGGTTGTGGACCATGGTTATACAGGTGAGATTTCGGTGATACTTCAAAATGCCTCAAAGAAAACCGTGAAACTGAGCGCGGGCGAGAAAACAGCACAGTTGGTTGTTGTTAAGATTGCCAAGCCGCAGGCAGTCTGT